GGCTGAAATATCACCACCTTATTTAAGTCTTGCATCGGCTGAAAGATCGCCATTTATATTTACACTTTACATTGGCTGAAATATCGCCATTTTATTAATACTTGCATCGGTTAAAAGATCGCCAAATCTTGCATTTCATGGGCTGAAAGATCGCCAAAATCATCCAAAGGCGTCATCGTTCAGAGGCACCATTTTCATAGCCCGAGAACATCATGCCATGGCCTGAGGACCCCACTTTTATCTCTGCATCGCATTATTCAAAGGCATCATAGTTCGGAGGCATCATTCTCATAGCCCGAGAGCATCATTTCATAGCCTGCGAATCCTTTATTATGTGTTTCATGGCCCAGGACACCATAGTCCGAGGACGTCATCCTAACAGTCCAAAGACAACATTGATGGTCCCACGGGAACTTGCATCATGTTTAAATTTATGCACAACATATGCTCTCGTATTTTATTTGTAGGTAAACTGTCTAGCAATGACCATTTTAGCAGGAGCGATCCCGCTCCAGTTTCCGCAGCCTTTTTAAATTCGTAGCAATGCTACCCTGATCCAAATATCTCGGAAAAATCTCCATCGGCATGTTCCGCTGATGGGTTCTGAACTACATACGGTCTGATTCCTATAAAACTAAGGATATGTAGGCGGCTCAGGAACCCGAGCTCGGTCAAAATTCTTCAAATCATTCGTTCGGTCAAAATTGGCCATCATATCTTTACCCGATAACTCTTTCATCCTTCCCGGGTAAAGAAGGGCAGCTGTTGATACCCAATTTTTTCCTATGTATTTTATATACAAAATACTTTCAAAATAGCATGTACATGCATATATAAGCATGCCCAAGAGTTTTGGTATTTTTTCCTAAATTTTAAAGATTTTAAAACCAATTTATTGTCTATTTTATCAGTACAAAACCCAATAATTATTCCCAAGATTATTATTTTGGTGAATAATTTATTTTATATTCTCATATTTGCACCAAAATATAATTAAGGTGATTTTTGCATATTTTTACAAATTTATTTGGTATTTAAAAGACTAAATTGCATATAACTGCAATTATAGCCTACTTTAAGATTAATAGTATTTTATAATTGTAAAATTAGTTCCAGTATTTCTAGATTAATATTTATATAGTATTTGTTGGCTCAGTTTTTTAAATTTACTTTTAAAACCATTATTGCTATTTTTATAAAATAAAAGGGGAAAATTGGCTATTTAACATTTAGCCCATTTCTATTTCAATTACAGCCTTTTTTACCTTTAGATTTTAACCTCAAATTGGCCCAATTTCAGTCCCCAAATTGGACCAGCCCAATCCCTAAATTACCCGACCCTTGACCCAATTAAAAAACCCGCCCGGCTCATATTCAATCCAGGCCGTTGATCATTTTGATCAACGGCCATAATTCCCCTTTTCCTTTTTAATCTCCAAACCCCCCCAAACCCTAATCACTTCCACCTATCAGCCGCCTTTGAACCCCCTCGTCTCTCAAACTCTCTCAAACCCTCCTGGAACCCTAATCATCTCCGTCCCCTTTTCCACCGTGATTCCACCGGAATCCACGGCGTCTCAGGCCATGGACGGTTTGTACTCACCCTTTCTCACCATTAGACCTAAGCCATTCAAGGCGGTGAAGCCTGACTTCGATGGTTCTCTTCAAGATCTTCTCAAATATGTAGACCTATGGCTTCTCCGACCACTACTCCGTTGTATTCAAACAATATGAGCCTTTTCGACTCAGGATCTGACTTTCCTCAAGACCTTTCTCATTTCTAGGGTTTTCTCTACAACCCTAAGTTGTTCAAGGTTCTTTGCTTGCTTATTCTCTTAGATCTGGAACATGTCTGTGTTCTATTGAACTTTTTAAAGGTTTTTCCCCAAATTCTCTTTTTTCAAAATCGTTTAATTTCGATTTAGGGTTTCCGAAAAATTTCTTCAAAATACCCTTCTGATTCTTTTTGTTCTTTCTTTATGTGTATTTTTCCGATTTCTTTTACTATGCATGTAATGTTCTTCTACTTTCTTTTCTTCTATGCTCACATGTTAATCTTTGCTATATGTGTTTACGATTGAGTTCTTTGATTTTGTTGGTGTTAGTGTACTATGTTTGCATTCTTACTAAGCATGATTCATCTTGTTTTGCCTAAGTTTGTATCTTTTTCTTCTGAACTTTTTAAATTTTGAGTTTTTCAAACGTGTTCTCCATGCTCTTAACTGTGTATCTTGTTTGTTTGTTTCTCACGAGTCTTTGGAAAGGACTCCTGAGCCTCCATCAAGCGGCTTGCCTTGTCATCTCTATTGTCTGACTCAATTCGAAACCCTAAGATTTGGGGGTTTCTTCGAAATTTTGATTCTTGTGTGCGAGTTAGGGTTCCCCTTTGGGACCCTGGACTCTCAGACTCCTCGTGAGTCTACAAATTGGACTTGTACCACTTTTGCTTATGATTCTGAACCCCTCTTTGATTAAACCCTCTTCTAAATATTTGACAATCCCTTCTTGATTTGTGTGCTTTATATATAAGGACTCTGCTTTCAAAAGGTTTTTCCAACTAATTGATTGATTCCGAAATCCTCTTAATAAGGTCTGACTGATTTTCTTTGATTGAATCTCCTTTACCTTTTCTTAACTTGGTTCATTTAAATTGAACTTGTAATTTTGGTTTCACTGGCTGTTTGATTGATTCCCTTCCCATAGTTGTCACAAACCGTGTACCATTGATTGTTTTCCTTAAATAACTTCTATGTATTTACCCCTTTTGTGCTACTTTGAAAAGTTTTAATTAAAATTTCTTTCCTTAACTGCCATTTACCCGTCGAAATCAGAATCCCTTAACCAAAGGGAGACTGATTTCAATGATATATTCCTTGCCTTTCTTACTTGTTTCTCTGCACTATAAAAAGGACTGCCCCTCTGCACTTTTACACACGACTTCATTCTTCACACAACCTTCACACCACTAGTCTTTAAAATACTTGCACACTTGCAATACTGTTTTAGAATTCGATATTCTGCTTTGCTTGGGATCTTTTGGAACCGCTTTGCTTGCAACTTTGATTTTTCAAGACTATTGTTTTTTACTTATTTCTTCTGAAACTGGTATGTTCTGATTTAACTTCTCTGCCTCACCCCTATGTGTTTACTTACAGTTTCTGCAATCCTGTTTACTTTACTGCGCATGATTCAATGATTTATGCTAATAGGTTCCTTCCTTGCATCTGTTTCTATTGTAAATCCCTACCCCCCCCCCCCCCCATTCCCCCCTATGTGTCTGAGTTAAGGTTTTTGGCCTAGCAGTACCCAAATTACTGCCCAGGTCAGAACCTGATCCTCAATGGATCCTAACTCCCAAGTTTTGGCTGACAGGCTGGTCAGGGGTGTGCCAGCATTCCCAATTGCTGGGCATGCCACCAGCCTGCCGTGGCTTTCCTTAATTTCCTCCTATGCACTTACACTTATTCTTAGACTCTTAAGTTCTGCCCCCCTCTTATGAGCCTTGCTTTGGGGCCTGGATCCCCCTCTGAACTTGGACATTTGAGGGCTGGCTATTCCACACTGCACCATAACCTTAATTCTGCAATATAATTGGGTGTAAGCAATGCCTGGAGTTCATAAAGCTACTTGGAACTTTGACACACCCAAAGGATGAGAAAGACTTTTGGAAGTTGGTTTATCTCATATTGTTGGACTTTGAGTCTGAATTAGGCTGTTTGGTTGTAGCTGGAACTTCTGATGTAATTTTATTTCCTTACTTTTCCGATTCATTTTGGACTGTAATAATTTGTAATAACTATTGGGGATGGCTAGTGGAAAGGGATGGGAATGATTGTATGCAAAGGGTAGATAACTTGCCTATAGGATTTTTTTTAATTCTTGCATTCACATAGACAACATGCCTATAGGTTACCTATAAACTGCTGCATTCTCATCTTAGATAACTTGCCTATAGGATTTTTAATTCCTGCATTCACATAGACAACATGCCTATAGGTCATTTATTTCTGCATCTCTGCATCTAGAAATCATGTCTCTAAGTCCCTGCATTCTGCATATAGAAATCATGATCATAGGTTTCTTTTCTGCATCTAGAAATCCTGTCTCTAAGGCTCATATTGTTTGTCGCCTAGACTTTTATCCTTTTAAAACTTATGAAAAGCCCCAACTCCCTCCCCTTTAGGATTAATAGTCTCAATGCCTCCGGGACTAATAGGATCGAGACGGGTAATAGCATGCAATAAGTAACGATACTATTCCACGCTTTAATACCTTAACGGGGTGGGAAGGGTAGACATGGATATGATGATCACGCGATAACACCACGCGTATAATTGGGTACCGGGTGTTGCGTGGATGATCCATGTTATTTGTAAACCTAGGACCCCCCCCCCCCTCCTTATGTACTTTCGTTATTGTTTTCTTTAAACTGTCAGTTTCCAGCTCTTTCAACCTTGTATTTCGCTTCAAGTCATTTAAGACCTCTTTGAATTTCCAACACTGTTTTCTTTTTAAACTTCCGCCCATTTCACTTCTTTTGTCTGATTGTTTGCACGCGTTATTTGATCCTTATTTTTCTACACTTATACATTCTTTTAAACAACTATGAAACCACCTATTTCTTGACTTCAGCATGTTTATTTAACCTTTATACATTCCCACTTGTAATCGTTATGTGGAAGTTGTCCCTTATGTTTACTTGTTTTAAAGTCACAATTGTAACATGGCCGGGAACCACACTAGTGGATCTTGGGGGGTGCCTAACACCTACCCCCTGAGATAATTTCAAGCCCTTACCCATTCTCTGGTTCTTCTTTCTTTTAAATTCTTAGTGTCCTAATGCACTTAATCATTAGGTGACGAATCTTCTAAATCTCAAACCAAAATTCCCAAAAGGAATAGAGTTGTCCGCCCAAATGTCGTAAACCCGATTTCGCCTTTAGAAAAAGGGGCATCGACAGGGCACAGGAGATATATCATGATATCCAATTCATACCAGTATGAGTGTGATCACATGGAATGTTAGATGGTTAAATAAAGCATACAAGCAAAAGGAGATAAAGGAGTTCATAAAGCAAAATAAAAAGATAGTGATAGCCTTAGCAGAACATAGAATAAAGGAACAGAAAGCTAGCAGTATAATCAGTAAAGTTGCTCCTGGATGGTCGTGGATATCAAATTTCAGCAACATCAATAACAGTAGAATATGGACACTATGGGATCCCAGAATCTTTGAGTTTGAACCAATTGACATAGATGGCCAATGCATACATGGACAGGTCAGAAGACACTCAAGACTACTAGCATTTGGATCTACAGCGATATATGGTTTTCATACTATAAAATATAGGTTGGATATGCGGCAGAAATTGAGGCCGATAAATAGCTTGCAGCAAGGACCATGGCTAGTAATGCGAGATTTTAATGCAGTATTTACTAGTCAGGATCGACAGCATGGTACAATACTACAAGATATGGAAATACAGGATTTTAGGGAATTCATGAGTGATACAGGAATGAATGAATTACCTACTGTGGGAAGGGATTACACATGGATAAATAACCATATATATAGCAGAATAGATAGAGGATTGGTAAACATAGATTGGATGATGACAATGCGTAGTATGAGTATACAAATCCTAGAGCCATCTTTCTCTGATCATTCCCCACGTAAGCTGATGATTTCATAAATGCAGGGGAAGAAAACCAGTCCATTTAGATTTTTCAATTGCATGAAAAGAGTTAAGCAAGTTATTAAGGGGCTTAACACTCAAAACTGCAAAGGTGTTGAGGACGGAATCGAAGTAATCAGAAGGGAACTACAGGAAGTGCATGAGAAAATAAGCTGTAGAATGCTGAATACAGAATTAATTGAGGAAGAAAAGGAACTAAAGAGTAAATTGGAGAAATGGATACTGATAGAGGAAAGCATTTATAGGCAAAGATCAAAGGTACAGTGGCTGAAGTTGGGAGATACTAACTCTGCATATTTCTTTGCTGAAATGAAGAATAGGAACAATTTGAATGGAATTCATGAACTCACGAATGATCTAGGGGTGCAGTTACATATGGAGGAGGAAATAGAGATAGAAATATTTGGCTACTATAAACAATTGCTTGGGTCAAATGCTACTGCAATCCCAGCAATAGATCCAAATGTAATGAAAAGAGGGGCAATGCTCACAAGAGAACAACAAATTAAACTGATCCAGCCGGTCACAAAACAAGAGATATGGGATGTTTTACAAGATATAAATGATTTGAAGGCCCTAGGATATGATGGTCTAAATGCAGTTTTCTTCAAGAAGTCATGGCATATCATAGGGGAGGAGGTAACACAAGCTGCTGGACTTCTTTCAGACATCACAGATGTTTAAGTCAGTTAATTGTACCTCAATAACATTAATTCCTAAAGTCAGAAATCCTGCTACTATCAAGGAGTATAGACCTATTTCATGTTGCACCACTCTCTACAAAATCATCTCAAAGGTGTTGACCAGTAGACTACAAGGAGTTATGGATAATCTAATAGATAAGACTCAATCTGCTTTTGTCCCTGGAAGAATAATTATTGACAACATCATTCTAAGCCGTGAGTTAGTAAACGGGTATAGAAGGAAAGGAGTGTCTCCTCGATGCATGCTGAAATTGGACATGCAGAAGGCATATGACTCACTTGAATGGCCATTTCTTCAGTATGTTTTGAGTGCACTGGCTTTTCAAGATCAGTTTGTGCAACGGATAATGACGTGTGTACAAAGTGTTACATATACTATCATGTTGAATGGTTTACCAACTCAGCCATTTGAAGCCATGAAGGGACTTACATAAGGGGGACCTACTATCCCCGTTCCTTTTTGTGCTGGAAATGGAATATCTCACAAGAAGATTGAAGGCATTGCATCACATCCCAGATTTCAACTATCATCCTATGTGTGCAAAGATGCAAATCATGCAGCTTGGATTTGCAGATGACCTTTTGTTGTTTTGCTGGGGTGACATTGTTTCAGTTCAGTTAATATACAATTGCTTTCTAGATTTCTCGAAAGCATCATGATTGGAAATCAACAAGAAGAAAAGTTCCATATTCTTTGGTAGAGTATCACAAGCTATTCAAGCATCATACTGGAGTTCATGGGAATTCAAAAAGGGAAGTTGCCAGTAAGGTACCTGGGAGTACCTTTAAGCTCTAAAAGGGTCTCACTAGTTCAATGTCAACCTCTACTTGACAAACTAGTGGGAAGAATTACATCCTGGACAGCCAAGCTATTCTCATATGCAGGGAGACTACAACTCATCAAAAGTGTTTTGTTCTCCATTCAAACCTATTGGGCTCAAATCTTCATGCTTCTAAAGAAGATTACCAAGTTGATTGAGGCAATTTGTAGAAGTTTTTTATGGACAGGAGACAACAACATGTCAAAGAAAGCTCTACTAGTTTGGGAGAAGTATGCCAATCCAGGTCAGCAGGAGGTTTCAGTGTAATGGATATTGGCTTATGGAACAAAGCAGGTGTAAGCAAGCAATTCAAGAATCTATGCAGAAGAAAAGAACAAGTTATGGATATAATGGGTGCATTGCTACTACATAAAGAACAAACATGTATGAGAGGTGCAAATGAACGAGGCATCATGGATTATGAGGAAGATTTTGAAAGCTAAAGAAAACTTTGAAAAAGTAGGATATAATTATGAAGATCTCAAGCAGATGCATGCTTGCCCTATCAAGCACATATGCCATAAACTGAGAGGAGAATTAACAAAGTGAGTTGGAGGAAATTGGTATGCAACAATGAAGGATGTCCTAGGTGGATATTCACGCTAACTCTGGTGGAAAATGGAAGACTGTACACAAAGGATAGATTGTTAAAGTGGGGTATTCACAATGATCAAACATGTCCTCTATGCGCAAAGGCAAATGAATCTATACAACATCTATTCTTTGAGTTCCAATATGCAGCTGAACTATGGAAAAGGATGCTCAACTGGCAAGGTATTAGCAGGAACATATATGGCTGGTCTGAGGAGCTGAAATGGTGTAACGATCCGACTGGTCGTTTTGAGCTTTTGCACTTTGCTCGCCAGTTCTTGGGCATGACTAGCCCCGTCTGATGTATTATGACTTATTTAAATCGTCGGTTTTGGTTTTCAGGATGATCGGAATGAATTTGGAAGAACAGTTCTCAGTTTGAAGCTTAAAAATTTGAAAGGTTTGACCAAATTCATCACGAGAGGCGCCATCACGACCGGGTTTGGGTTTAGGGTCGTGACAAATGGGCAGAAAACTAGACAAGAAGTAGGAATGCAAAAACAAAGCTGTTCAAGATTGTATTAGCAGGGTGTGTATACTTTGTATGGCAAGAAAGGAACGCAACACTATTTCAAGCCAAAGCGAGGAATTGGAAGATAATTAGCAAGCTAATTGTACAAGAAGTGCATTGTAGAAGTAACAGTAAAATAGGAAAATCTCTAAGTAGATTCGATTATTATCCAACGTAATAGATTGAGTAACAGACGGATAGCAATAGAGTGTACGAGGGAGGGAGGGGAAGTATAGAAATATCTATAAGGGTTTTGTATTGATTGTAAATATTTCCCCTGGTATATAAAAGTTTAATTACCAAAAAAAACTAACTCATCAGGTTTCGCGAGAAGAACATCCGTGTGTGCATGTGTACATTTTTCAAATACTCCGCTCAGACAATATCATGGTATGTAGAGGTGAAAAGTAGTTAATTCAGATAAATGATCAAGGAAATGCAAATTCCACACGACACTGGCCGGATTCTCTCAACTTTCTATATCCGTTCCCAACCACTAATCAGTATTTTCAATAACCGCGTGTACACCATCAAGAGAGAACATGAGAAGGTGACCCTAGAGGGATGGATCCGTATCCACACGTTGCACAGATAACTCGCGTGCTGCACGGACAACTCACGTGATAATAATATAACCCGCACGGACAACTCATATGTTGCACGGATGACTCACATGCCAATAATATTAATATATGGATTTGCATGGACAACTCACGTGCCAATAGCACAATCCGTCTGGTATGGTCACATGCCTTCAGTCCAAACATATCATACAGGAGAAAATAAGAAACTATACATGTGTGTGATGAATGAAAAACAATTCTCATGCTCCTGGACTGGTATAAATGACATGATAACATGTATGCATGTGCAAAGTGTGCTATCATAGCTCAAATAGGAAATTTCGTCACTGAAAAGCATTTATCAAGTTCCTTCAGGGATTAAACCTCTATGTAGCCTTAGTATGGCTCAAAGAGACCACACAAACTATTACAAACATAAGAGATATCCTAGTTTAAGGCTTAACAGTCAATTCTAGGCTTATAAGAGCCCGAGCACAACTTGAACATGAATAAATGACCTCGGTGACCGCACATGGGTTCATCCCCAAGCATGTGCGTACCCAATAGCACGTAGCTACCACAACAATTTAGGCAACTAGTTCCTCAATCGAGTTTAAATAAGACACTTACCTCAAGCTAATCAAATCCCTCCGCTAGCAAGTCCTTCCCACACGTATCGACCTCCGAAAGGATCAAATATATCCAAAAATAACGTAATACTATCAACAAAAGCTATAGGAATTGATTCCAATTAATAAAGCTACAATCTTTAACTAAGGTCAAAATGTCAACTCAAAAGGTCAACCCCGGGCCCACACCTCAGAATTCGATAAAATTAACAAAATCCGAACACACATTCAACCACGAGTCCAACCATACTAAAATTACTGAAATCCGATCACAACTCAACCTTCAAATCCTCAAATTAAAGCCTATGAAGTTTCTACAATTTTTCCCAATTTCCCAATCCAAAAACACTAATTAAATGATGAAATCAATGATATATTCATGTATATTAACAAAATCCGAGTTAGAATCACTTACCCCAATCAATTTCTTGAAAATCTCTTCAAGAATCGCCCAAGTCCGAGGTCTCTAGCTCAAAATATGAAAAATGGGTTCAAACCCTTGATTTTGGTATTTAACACTGCTGCCCAGATGACTCTTTTTCGCGATCGCGGTAAGTCCTTCGCGATCACGAAGGACAAAACAAAGCTGCCCTCAAAATGGCCTTCACGAACACGGATAACTCCACGTGAACGTGATACACAGATTCACTGACCTACGCGATCGCGAACATCTTCACGCGATCGCGAAGAACAATCTCTTCCATTCTTCTTTGCAAACGCGATTCCCTTCACGCGTTCGCGATTCATCAACTTCCAAAGCTCCGCGATCACAGACCTCTTCTCATGATCGCATAGAACAAATCTTCCACCAGCCCAAACAACCCTTCGCAATCGCAATATCCCATTCGCGATTGCATATATGGTAACCAACAATAGAAATCAGCGATTTTTTAAAAGTTCAGAAATGCACCAAACATGATCCGAATCATAACTGAGGTCGACGGGACCTCAATCAAATATACCAACAAGTCCTAAAACACGAAACAAACTCGCTCAAAGCGTCAAATCACATCAAACAACATCAAAAACACAAATCACACATCGATTCAAGCCTAATGAACTTATGAACTTCAAACTTCTACATTCGATGCCGAAACTTATCAAATCAACTCCGATTAACCTTAAATTTTGCACATAAGCTATACATGACACAACAGACCTATGCCAACTTTCGAAACCAAAATCCAAGCCTGGTAACCAAAAAGTCAACTCTCGATCAAACTTCTCAACTCTCCAAACTTCCATATTTTTTTCCAATTTCAGTCAATTCAAGCCAAAATCATCTACGAACCTACAAATCAATATCCGAACCCACTCCTACGTCCAAAATCACCGTAGGGAGTTATCAGAACCATCAAAACTCCATTCTAGAGTCGTTGTTATTAAAGTCAACATCCGGTCAACTCTTTCAACTTAGGCTTCCAACCTTGGGACTAACTGTCCCAATTCATTCTGATAAATTCCCGGAACCAAACCAACTACCCTGACAAGTCACATAGAAACAAATGAGCGTAGAATAAGCAATAAATTATGGAACATGGCTACAACACTCACGATCAGCCGGGTCGTTATATCCCACCCTCTTAAACAAAGGTTCATCCTCGAACGGGTCTAGAATCATACCTGGAGTCTCAAATAGGCATGGATATCTTCTATGCATCTCCCGCTCAGTCTCCCAAGTAGCCTCTTTGACTGGCTGACCTCTCCACTGCACCTTCATTGAAGCTATGCTCTTTGACCTCAAATTTCGAACCTACCGATCCAAAATGGCCACTGGCTCCACATCATAAGTCAAATCACCATCCAACTGAACCGTGCTGAAATCCAAAACATGAGACGGATCACTGTCATACTTCCGGAGCGTG